ATGCTAGTCCCACTAATATAAATATTTATTCATTCCCTGCAATTAATATGTACTTATTAAATGTCTACTAGACACCGGGCTCTATGCTCAGTGCTGGAGACACCATAGTGAACAAAACCCATGTGCTGCCCGGCCCTGAGAGACTATTCAGCAAGGAAGCCACTTCCAACACAACTGTCACTCTCTCCAAAGTCGCCTGAGCTCATTCCCCACCTCCTGTTAGGGACAGAGTGGAGTAAGAGCAGAGAGAGCCAGGTTACCTGCTCTATCGTTTGAAAATGACCAGCCTTGGAAAGAACTCAACTACGTTTAAAAGCAAGACGGATCCTCTTCTCTCTGGCAACCCCATGCCTTTGCCTTCACAGGAAACCCTTACTGAGACATGGAGTTGGCAGACAGGGTAATGCCCCTGAGTTTCACAAAGCAGCCTCAGCCAAAACCAATCTCCACTCAGGCAAAATAAAGCAGTTGGTTGTCTGGATGGCTGAATGTCTTTCCCTGAGACAATGGTGTGTTTATGTGTCAGAGGGTTAGGAGCAGGTTAACATAAAACCCACCGTCAACAGACCTGTTAATTCAGTTGCTGGCAGGGGCTTCTGTTATCTTCTGAATACCTCCCAGAGGGTATAAGCTCTACCTTTTCATTTGAGTTGGCAGCATAGTTATTTTTTTGCACCTGTTGCTCTGCTCCGATAACAACGCAGTTAAGCATTGATTTGTTGGAAAATAAACAGAAAAAAGCAAAGAAAGGCATCTGCCCAAACAGCCTGAGCTGGTTTGACTGAATGTTCATGCCAATTTGTTTTTCCTATAAAAACCAAAGAAAAACCTGTGCTTTCAGTTTGGATGCTACCCTCCCACTCCCTCAGAAGAAAAAGAGGTATCGAATAGGCCAGCCAGAGCTGGCAGGGCCAAGAAGCCAGAAGACACCGTACTTTTCCAATGGCTGGCTCTGCGAGGGTGCTGAGGGGTGTCCAAGATCTGCAGAATGACATGGCCAGCCTCCAGCCAGCCCAGGTTAAGATCATGATTCAGATTAACGAGGGCAGAGAAGGAGCTGCCGGGATATGATCAAAACCCAACCACACTCTTCCAAGTGCTTGACTTCCGCAAGTCAGTGTGGTTCAGGGAGCAGGTGTGGTCTATGGGTTACCTCTGAAAGCAGAGACTCAGAGTCCCTGGGTCTCAGACGAGCCTCCCCCACAGACTTTCTACCTCCAGCCCTGGGCAATGAGCATAACATGAAAACCTCGGTCCCTGGACCATATTTTTCCCATCAGGCTCCACACCTACCTCAAGGGCAAGCTGTGTAGACTCACTCATGTCCTGCCAAGTGACTTGAGGTCCCAGGTGCCAGGTGAAAAGGACCTGAGATGTTCAAGGTGTGATTGCTGCATTAATTCAAGGATCCTCACACTCTCATTTCTCATCACTTTGTCAATATCACATGATGAACTCAAGCCAAAAAGGGCCACAAAGAGCTGAACAAATCACTCAAATGGAGATCGTGACAACACCAATTAAGCAATGGCATCATCGCCCAGCCTTCAACACACACATGCAGAGGCAGCCTCTTACTACCTCTTTTTAAGCCTTGAGAAGAAATCACCAGACATGGACAATGCACAGTGTTCCCCTGGATGCCTACCTTCCCCAGCTTTCTCTCACATGGAACTTTCACTATCACCGGACTGCTGGCTCGGTGGGGAGTCAGGGCAGTGGGGAAAGGCCTCGGAAATGGCTCTTCTCAAGGAGCATTAAGAACAGGGTGTTCCAACAGGGGCGGGTATGGCTGGCTGAGCATTCCCAAGCATTCTTGTCCTGAGCAGGGCAGGGAGTGAAGTGCCTCGGAACCAAAACAGGCAGCCAGAAAAATAAAAGATTTAACGACACCCTTAGTTGACTGAAAAATAAATAAGACGAACTGCACAGGAATTCAGGAAGGGTGGAGGGAGGTAGAGGTGGGGACCAGAGCCAAGGAGGAGTTGGGATGGACAGGGACAATGGATTTGACCAGTCTGAGATTCAAGTTTCTTCCCAGGAAAAGACCAAGATGCTTCAGCCATGGAAAGATCAACAGACACCAATTTGTAATCTCACAGACTGTGTAATTACAAAACAACAACCAAAACTATGATGGTGATTATGTTTTAAATTTATTGAGCGTTCATGATGTGCTAGGAATTGAGTGGGCTTTACAGGAATTATCTCACTTAATCCTTGCAATGACCCCCAACATTGGTACTAATATTATCCCCATTTTACAGATGAGGAGGCACAAGAGAGGTTAAGCAACTTACCCAAAGACACAGAGCTAGTAATTGGACTGGATATATTATAATAAATGTCTTGGGGGGTGGAGGGAAGGAGCAACATCATTCTTTGTAGCTTTGAAAATGGATCCTTGTATTTCTAAAGAGAAGGATGTCTCTTAGAACCTCATACTTTTATTCTGGAAGTTGAGATTCTTTCAGTACAGCTCCCAAAATTTTTCCCCTACACATGATGAGGAGGCATACAAATCACCCTTGTGTCCTACTACAAAAGTTCCCCTTAGCATACATCAGCGTGGATGCTACAGAAGCAGCAGTTCATGGTCACTCAAATCCATCCATCAAAACTTCAGTCTGGCTTCCTGTTGAAAGCCCCAGATTGACTCAGGGGTTGGGCTTGGCTGCCCGAAGCCACCTCAGACTTATTATCCATGATAAAAGAGTAGTATTAATAACAAGGAAAAAACTGTTGAAAAATTAAGGGGAAATTATGACCCCTTTGAAGAGCACCTGATGTCCGAGCCATCACATACAGGTCCTGATGACAGACCTGCTGTGCTGTGGACAGCCCACCGACGAGAGAAAGATTGCGGACGTGTCATTCTGGGAGCCTGAATTCCATCACTCTGACAAATAAATCTAGCAAAGTCCTCCCCCTCGTCCACCACGTCCATAACCCTGTTTTAAACCTTGGAACAGTCCGTACAGACATAACCATAAACTACAGGCAGGCCCTCACAAGGCTTATTCTATCATCATCTTTGCAGCTTAAGAAGCAAATAATATCTGAATTTTCTCACAAAGTAGAAGATCTCCTCTTTAGAAGAAGTAGGGTTTTCTTTTGTACAGATAATCATTAAATGGCAGCTTGGCATTTAATGATTTTGGCATTAAATCATTCTTTTCTTGGCAAGAAAGCTGAGTTCCTTTTCCGCGCCTTCCTGCGAGAGCGAGAGGCTCTCAGCTCACTGAGTCTAGCTTTCCCTCCAGAACACACCTTTGCTCTGCTTCTCCTAGCTCACTGATCTATGTGGTAAGCCCTCTGGAAGATGGAAAATGAAAAAACCCGTCAGCAAGGCGAGCAGCTCTCTACCAGAAAGGTTTTCCAAGGAGTCAAATTCCCTCCAGCCGATTATTCAGCCATTCCTCCAGTTGCTTTGGAGGAAAGCTCTGGTGCACAAACAAAATTATAAAACTCACCAACTCAGAAACTACAGCATCCCTCCTCGACAGGCCTCAGCTTTCCACCAGAGCTCAGCTAGATGAGCGAGATAAGGTCTCTCCACACCTCTTCCAGCATCGGGAGTTGTCATGCATTCAAACAATTTCACCACATCCAGACGCAGGCCCAGCCACATAATTTGCAGGGCTTGATGCAAAGGAAAATTCAGGCCCTCTTGTTCAAAATGTGTTAAGGATTTCAAGACAGCCACAGCAGAGCATTAAACCAAGCACAGGGCCTTTCTAAGTGTGGGGTCCTGTGTCACTGCACAGGATGCATATCCAGGACACAGGTCCTGTCTAGTGAGTCAGTCCCAAATTTTGCCTTCACCTGCCCCGATGCTCTATCACCAAGAGGGCCAGGGGGGAGTCTTTTCTGTCTTTGCCCCACAAACAACCTCCTGAAGTAGTTGGGAGCATTAAACAAAATAGGACATTGAACATGCCTGTAATAGCTCCTGGCTTATAGTAGGTACTCAATAAATATTAGCTATTATCACCATTATTATGATTATCATTATCTTCATTATGCCAAGGTCCCTCCACAGCTCCAAAGCTACCCGTAAGCAGGAACAATGAGTGGGAAGAACATATACCCCTATTTTGACAGAGACGATCTATTACCTGATGCTGCTCAGAAGCCATTTCATTAGCTCTGTGCGAGAGAATGCCATAAATTAGGAGTTCTTAACCTTTTATTTACACCATGGACCCATATTGCAGCCTAGTGAGGCCTATGGACCCCTTCTCAAAATGTTTTTAAATTACAAAAGATTAGAAAAGGAAGTTTATATTGAAATACAATGATCAAATTCTTTTTAAAATACATGTGTGATATAATAATATGTGCTTCTTTATTAATACATCAAATAATTGCAAATCTAATAACCTCCACGATATCAAAGTAGTGAGGAATATTGATATTTTGAGACAATCTGCAACAAGTGTCATGTGATGTGAAAATGTCATTTTTCTTGGTGACAGTCACAGTCACAGCTAATGCTACTGTGGAGTTTTGCCTACATTCACATTGAAAGAAAATGTTGAATTTTAGTTAGATTACTGAAAATAAATGTAATTTCTTCACATCCAAGTTCACAAACCCTCTGAATTCTCTCCGTGGATACCAAGAGACCCTTGGATCCCAGGTTAGGAACTCTTGCTATTTTCCAGCAAGGACGGCTTGTTCAACTCAAATAGCCTCTAGAAGCCACTTCCACGTGGCCAGAAGCCTCATTTGAACAATTTACCAAGAGGCAGACCCTATAGTGTCTTGGCAAAATAAGTAAGTAGGAATTTTTTCAAAGCCTCTAGGACGCCGAGAGTAATGCCTTAGCTACGGTGGTCAGTAGACCCCTGGAGAGACTATCAAGAATGTGAGGGGTGGGCAATGGTATATGAAGTTGCAGTTAGTCATGTGAACTGCCTGGAGGGGGATCCGTTTCTTCTGGAGGCTCCTACTTGGCAGCATCAAGACACAGGGAAAGGAATATACTAAGTGCTCACCGAAGGTCTTCCCCAGAACCCCCACAGGTTGCGGTTTGTAGCCAGCTCAAGACAAAGCTCAGTTTGGGGGTCCAGCATCAACATATTCATCCTGTCTCCCTGCCAGCCGCCTTCCCCTTGAAAACTCTATTGCATTTCTTTCCCAAGGTTGCAGCATAGAACCAACATCGATCATTTCGAAAAACAAAATCCCAGAATTATTCATCCACTACAACTCAATAGAGACGCAATGAAGACACCCATGTCGGGGATTTATCCTCAATTTCCATTCCACAAATTACTAATTATTTACTCACAAGCATTTGTCCAATTGCTTTCAGATTCTTTGTCTAATTTAATCCTTACAACAACCCGGGGCAGAAGTCATTAACCCCATTTTCCAGATGAGGAAATTTAGATTCTAGAGCTTACATAACTCACCCGAAATCACTCAGCTACTCAGTGGCAGAGTCATATTTGAACCCAGCTATTCTGACTCTAAACCCAGTATTACTTGCATCACATTCCAGCTGCTTCCAGGCAACAAAAACTCATAGCCTCCTGCCCCTTCAGATACACAAGCAGCCAAAGTCTACTCTTTATTAGCATTTCTCAACCTGCAGCCTTCTGGCCAGTGCAGTTAAGAGTGGTGAAAGGCGAGCTAGGGGCTCTCAGATTATCTAAGTGGATGTAATCAAGACAGAGGCTGAATTTGATCCAAATCTAAAACCCACTGCAGAGAAAAAACGAGTCTTGTCAGTAGCCACCATGAAGACACAGCTGAAAATACCTTCATCTTTCAGACCCCACCTACCTCATCCACCAGAATATATCATTAGCCCTACTGAGGGAATATTTTTAAACATCCCAAAATAGTCTCTATGACACAGCCATATTCTCCAACTCTGTTGTCATATACAATAAGTAGCATATCCTCTTCATATTCCAAGAAAGACTCAATAGACTTCTGGAGGAAGTTTGCATCAATCTGAGAAAGGGCTAGCAGGGTGATTGAAATATCTCAAATCCACAATTGGGCCAATAAGGTTCCAGCCTCCAAGATTGTTTTTTGTGTGTGTCTATGATATAGAGTGAGGGGGAAGTGACAGAATATGAAATTTTAAGTTCACCACAATTCCAACAACATCAAAGAAAGTGTGCATCTAGATAAGGTCATACAAAAGTAAAAATAAGTAGTTATGTTAACATAGTGGGGTTAATAAGGTGATCTATTAGTCTAATAGTCAAAATATTATAATAGGCATTTGGGCTTCTTTTTATTTTTGGCTTTGTTTTCTTCAGAAAGTATGTTTTGAACGTACCTATTTTAAATAAATAGGCAGATACCCTTAATAACAATTAATATGCTTCTGAGAAAGGAAGGGAAGGAGGCTGTGAGGGCCAGGATGTGGAGGAAGATTGGAAGAGAAGAGATAATGTGAATCCAATGAACCAGAACAAGGGGCCTGGCCCCATAAAACAAACCAAAGACAGAGTGTGGTTAGGTGCTTGTGAAATCGATTTTCAAAGGAGTATTTTTACAGGATGTCTCTTTTAAAGCAAGGCCACTTAAAATCCTGGGAGCCTCTTTACATGGGCCACCCTGCTTGACCGTGTTGCAAGCTCCGGCTGCTCCAGATACAGGCTGAGGCCCTCGAGGAACACCAGAGCCTCCAGGTTGGGCTGCCTGGGGGCTGGCCAGCCACGCTCCCCTTCTAATTACCCCTCAGATCTTCTTCTAGGAGAAGCGAGTCCACGGCCATCCAATCTACCCAACAATTCATGGACAATCGGTCGTGCGAGCTGATCAGCACCACGCAAACTCAGTAGACTCATGGACGCCTGAGTGTTCACTCTTCCGCAAGCTGCATCGATGTTTTATAGAGGATGTCATTAGAGTGCCTATTCGTGTACACCGACTGCTCCCTGTGGTCACAAAACAGTCGGCTTCATCCACTTCTACACTCCCACTAACTTTGGACACATGAGGCAAATTGACAAAGATAGGATGTTGTCATGGGAACAGACTCTAACAACTCTAATAAAGTCTCTAGGTATCCACTCTGAGTACCTCCATGAGGCATATCCCTTAGGCAACATTCTGAAGACCCTAAGGAAGCCATTTAAGGGCTCCTATGGATCTTCTTTCCTATCTCATCCTAAGGAGGGTATCTCCCACCCTATTCTCAGCTTTCACAGATTCAATCTAACCCTGCTGACCTCTAGGCATGGCTGGTTCCCCTCAATCATCAGAATCTGAGGGTTGAAATGGATCTTAAAGAGGATTGGGTTCAAACTCCTTTGTCCAGATGAAAAAACTAAAGCCCAGAGAGGTGGAGTGTGTTGCTCTGGGCACACAGCTTTGCAGGGGCTAGAAAACTGGGTCTCGTGACTGCCAGTCCCAGCACACCGTCCTGCACACTACCCTGTCCACTCTGTGCTCCGACCACCAAGTGTGAGTCTGAAATTCTTCAGGAAGATTCTTAAAGGAATACCTTTTTTTTTCCTCTCTGAAGTCCAATACATTTTTTATCCAATAACTCTGAGGGATCCATGGAAATTTCTACTCCAGCACATCTACCTCCTGACATCAATGTCATTTGACTTGAACTTATGTCCCATCCTAATATTAGCTGCTGTGGGGAGCCATTCTCCCCACTGCACTGTTGGTTTCCTGCATAGCTTAATAGTCTGGCCCTTTAAAATTCTGTCCAATTCAAATAAACATAGTAGTCACGTATTTCTAATAAGAGCATAATTGCCTGCTCCTTAGAACAAATCACATTATTTAAAATCATAGTATTCAAAATTAGATAATAAAATGTTAAATAAAATGTATTATCTTACCCATATCTTCAGTTATTCAACAACAGATTTAAGAGAACCCTGGCAAGACGTGGCTGCCTTCCTGCCTCTGTCTTCAGATGACAGTACCCACCACAGATTCGGCTTACCTAAGCTGAAAGCCACCGCACTCCATCAGTTACCCAGTAACAAAGCCAGGGTGAGAATGTGTGGTCTCTAAACACCAAGCCTGCAGTGGAGTCGATGCCTCCCGTACAGGGCCCCACCCACAACAGAAATGATTGTCACTTCCATTCTACCAGAGAGCCATCTTAAGAGAAATGGGCTGAAACGGCAGCAAAAAGATGTCACCAAAAATCAGGTTCCAACTTTATATTTGGCTCATTAAAACTGTGGCATTCCTTCTTAAGGGTGTTAGCAGGTTCCACCACAGCATTCTTGGTATCCACCCCACCCCACCTCCCAGATGTCTCTGAAAATCACATCTGTTTGAAAGCACATAGGGATGATTCTGTCTAGAGGAGGGGAAAAACTGACTAACTTTGTAATGATTTGTACAAACTTCTATGACTGTGCTTGATGCTTTAACATGAAACATTGGGCTTTCAGAAAAGCAAGATGCTCTAAAGAACACAACCAGTGCTGCCCCTAATTTGGGGCAGAGGGGGGAATGAGGAAGAAATAAAGCATTATAAAACTCCAGAAAGCTCAATTCTATTTCATACAAGTGAACTTTGGCCCAAAACACTCACATTCTGACCTGAGACCTGATAAGAGTTCCTTCTACTTTCCAATTAGCTAATTGAATGCAGTTAAGTAAATATTTTAACCTCTCAGTTTCCATTTTGTCTCAGTCTCTCAAGGCGTCAAAAAGATATTGAAAGAGGATCTGGGTAAAGTTGGCAAATTAATGGGAGCATAAACGTGGAATCATAAGTGTGAACATAAGGCTTCTCGGAGGTCCAGAAAGGGCCATGGCATTTCCATTTGCGGGAGCTCACAATATATTAAAAAATGGAAAGAATATCAAAAAAGTTTGTTTTAATTTAACAAATAGATACTTTTTAACACAAAAGAACAATTATAATTGAATTTGAGATCTTTTGTAAATAGACAGCCTGGATCAGATGCACCACCCTACCCACAGCCACCTTAAAAACTCCTGACTAATGCCGCCATCTTGAACAGTAACGCAAGAGAACTTACAGCACAGTTGTTTCCTCAAAATTACTTTCTTTTAAAATACTTCTGTAGATTACTTTGGAAACATGGAGAAGGATTGTCTCCATTATATTTATTATTTTTTCAAATGTGATCACAGGCTTCCAAGTGATCCTCATTTCACATTCCATTATTGTTTTTAAAATCTATCCATGAGCCATCAGCAATTGGAGTGCAAATGGTGTGATCCTACAACTTCAGATTAAAAGAAGACGGAATTGAGTAATTTCATAGTCTCAGAATTCTAGGTCTCAAAAAGAGGACAAGCGGAGCCTTCTGCAAACTCCACATGCAGCCGTTCAAGTCATTCTCAAAATCTCGTAAGAACTTTTTCTGATAGTATCGCTTACCCACCAAGTCCTTCCTAACAACATGACTTCATCTCTCCTGCTGGAAATCAACTCTTCCCTTGACCTCAGTGGAATTAGCACATGAACACGTGTGATCCCCAACTACCCTTTTACACATTGAAAGGCTCTATGTGGACACATCCTCATAGAACCAAAATTCGTGAATTAGACCTTCCATCAGAAAGTTCTCAGAATCCAAACACTCCCTTTCTCCCTTTAAGGTCAGTGCAGATAACCAGCAGAGACACCTGTGCACTTAGACTCACAGAATCTTACACTTCATCTTAAAAAGACACATGCTCCCACAATACTGGGAGTATACTAAATCTTGGCAAAGACGGATGGTGAAAATGTTACTTTCCTGACTCGGTGTTGTTATCTACCAACAAGAAGATTAATTCTCCACTGTTCTCAGTTCTATTCACACTGGGACCATCTCCATGGTGTCCAAACAAAACCAAAGAGTCTTAGAAGGCATTTGGTACTGCTGACTCACGTCTGCCTGTCTGGTCTGAGTATCCCATTATGGAACAGGCAAAGGGTTAGTTTGTCCCCTTGCGATATGGTGAAACTCTTTGCCAAAATTGATGTTTTTTTCTTTTTTTTTCTGGACAGAGTCATTTTAAGGTGTGCAGCTATCCCCAGTGCCCTTGCCCACCTGGGCTGCCTGACCACTTTTTTCAGTGTGGACACATACACCCTTGCCTATTTCCAGTCATTTTTCAACACCAGAACATGCCAAAGATGAATCTGCCTTTCCCTACAACCAATGAGTCAGAAAAATTACCAACACAAGACATCTCTAGAAAGTGAGAACATGTGCTCAGAGCCCCCACAGCTATTTAGCCAACCAGTTCTTCACTGAGCACTATCAGGGTCACCTATGTCTGGCTGCCTATTTGTGTCAGAATTCAACCCAGGGCAACGGCTTCGTCACACACATAGAGGGAAACCAGGGGGCTTTTAAATTCACAGGGACTGGAAGTCCAGACGCAAAGCAGGGAATTCACAGATACCCACCAAAGTAGTCCAGCTGCCCTCCAAAATAAAATTCTGATGAGACCCAGTGAGTTAAGCACAGGTGAGGCGAGCTCCACTTCCTGCCAGCTGCCTCAGGGAGTCAGCT